TTCCAAAATCCGCAATTTTTAAAAGGGAATATTCTATTGAAGAAACACGTTATTAAACAAAGGATTGCAGGTAATAATCGAAAATATTTAAATACTAAATTTTTTAAGTTTGTGCATTATTAATACAAAAATCTAGATATCTTGTAAAATGTTTGTATTTAAGATATATTTTTTATTTGAACCTATTTTCAAAATATAATTCGTTGGATTCTCAAGATCTGAATCCAATGGGAAAAATACCAACTAAAACCTGTTTAAAAAAACCTTTTTGCACTCATAATCCAAATTCAACTAATGAGAGATAAATAAAAGCTTTCTAATTTCTGAATGGCTTATCAAGTTCAGTGTCATTAACTAACTTAGGGCCAATCACACAAAACAACCTACCCTGATTAGACGGGTCCAAACTGCATAGTAAATTGTAATTGCTTATTTGTAATATCTCATGCTTTGTAGTTGAATAAAAATATGAAATATGAATGAAGTTTTGGCTTAAAGATAATCGAAAAAAGTTTCTATTTTTGTATTTTAACCCTTTTTATTTATTAAGAAAATCTGTAAAGTCATAAGAAATGTTCATGATCTGGATCCGGTTCCTGATACTAAAATTGATCCTAAGCACCGTCTCTGCAGTTTTGACACCTCATTGTAATTTGTAAGAATTTGAATAATTAAGACAGTTTTTTCTTCTGAGCTGGGGTACAAACTTAGACACGCTAAAACTGTTCGAAAGGATTAACTTGAATCGTTTCTGAAATCCACAATGTCAAATGTCCACCAATATCAACGCCTTAAAATGTTTAGTTTGATTTAAAGGGACTGTAAGCATAATTTCAAGTAACCCTCCTTTGTCAGATTAATATGAATAAGATAGCAACGTTTATAATTTAGAAAACTGATTTTTTCAGTTTTGTATTTTAACCTTTTTTATTTGTTAAAAAAATCAGTAAAATCAAAGGAAATGTTTATGATCTTGATCCGGATCCAATTATACATAAAAATAAAATTGATCCTAAGCGTTATCTCTGCAGTTTTGCCAGTTTTCTATACCTCATTTTTGAAATAGAAAATCATCTTCATTATATTGCTATAAAATGAACAATATCTTTTTCCAAAAAAATAGAAGGCATGGCACCAAATGTTTAAAAGAAGGATTTAAAGAATTTAAAGAACCAGCAAGATAGTTTGTTGCAAATAAAGTTTTCACGCTTTGACAGCATTAAATGATCTTTAATTGTATATTTAAAAGAAAGTTTATTGGTAACACTTGATATTTCAGGATTATCTAGAGCTAAACTTCTCCAGCATTTAGGCAAATCAAAGAAAAGAAATTGTCGTAAAGATTCATTGTCAACTCTTAGGATAAAATAATCATCAGAGCTTCTTAAATTATAAAATTTTTCAGTAAATATAAAGAGTTTTTACAAAAAAAATGTAGTTTTCGGCTCAATTAATTGCAATTTTCGAGACAAATAAGAATATTTAAAAGATCGTTGAAAAAATTTTATGAGGCCAAATAAACAAATTTGCAAATATGCAGAAAATACTAGTTTTTTCGAGTATTATGCATATTTTGGCTTAAAAGCTCGGTGATAATCCGATATGATATGGGACGCTCTGTAGTTTATACTAAACTAGCAGCTTTATTTAGACCACATTTTGGAAAGGCAAGGACCAGGAAAGTTTTGTTGTCATTGTTTCAAGAATAATACACATTAAAGTTATTTGACGACTAAATGTCTCAAATAAATTCAAAGATCAAAGTCGACTTTTAAGTTGTCATAAGCTACTGTCATGCTTCGTGGGACACCCTGTATCTACAGGGCGTCCTTTTCATCTTGACAATTTTCTGTAAAAAAAAAATTTGAGTAATCAACATATAAACGTTTTGTTTTATAACTGGATTTACTTCTTTTTCTGTAACAAGTGTTAAAAATGACCGCCATTTTCTTAAATGCATAATTAAGCTTTAGTGCGAAAATTGATTAAAACTCTTCGAAGTCATTGAAGAGTAATCCTCTTCAACGAAAGAAGAAATCGACGAATTTTAAAAAGTCTGAGGTAGCTCTGGAGTACTGACCTTGGATATCTTCGTGTAAAATTAGTTTTAACTAATCCGCTTACCCAAAGAAAGGTGAAACTACGCGTAAAACGTTTTATCAAATTTGTGTTTTTACTGAATTTGTCTTTTCTTCTGCAAAACATGTTGTGGATATTTTGTTATATCGCAAAACATTCAGATTAAAAAAAATTCCAAAAAATGTATTTTGTTTAATTCTAATAATTTCCATTTGTTTTCCAGCAGAAGAAACGTGCTTTTTTATAGAAACCACAATTTAAAATAATTTTTTTCTTTTCTTTAAAATTTTAAACATTGATATCTAATTCAAAGCTTTAAAAGGTACCATTGTAATTATGTATTTTATGTTGTAATTATGTATTTTATGTTGTAAATATGTATTTTTATGTTATAAATATGTATTTTTATGTTATAAATATGTATTTTTATGTTATAAATATGTATTGCNCTAATAGGGGAATCATAGGTTTACATAACTGTCCCAAGGGGCATTAAGTAACTTAACTTCCCTCTAATAGGGGAATCATAGGTTTACATAACTGTCCCAAGGGGCATTAAGTAACTTAACTTCCCTCTAATAGGGGAATCATAGGTTTACATAACTGTCCCAAGGGGCATTAAGTAACTTAACTTCCCTCTAATAGGGGAATCATAGGTTTACATAACTGTCCCAAGGGGCATTAAGTAACTTAACTTCCCTCTAATAGGGGAATCATAGGTTTACATAACTGTCCCAAGGGGCATTAAGTAACTTAACTTCCCTCTAATAGGGGAATCATAGGTTTACATAACTGTCCCAAGGGGCATTAAGTAACTTAACTTCCCTCTAATAGGGGAATCATAGGTTTACATAACTGTCCCAAGGGGCATTAAGTAACTTAACTTCCCTCTAAAGGGGAAACATAGGCTGGTAATGTTGGTTAAAAGGCAGTAAAATGTTAAATTCAATTTTTGATTTTTTATTGTTTCAGCATTTTCAGTTTTAATTTTAAAAGTACATTTAAAAGATTAAAAGCATACTTTTTTCTAGATCCTGATGACAGTGGATGTGTTAACAAAAAAGAAGAAATTAATTGCATTCCTCAAAATAAGGTAAAGTCCAAAATTTGGACAAATTTTTTTTTGCAAACATTTTTACTATATAACTGGATTTTGCAATAAAAAATTCAATTTTTGCAAATTTGCAAATTTTTTTGCAGATTCTAAAAGTACAGCACAAGAGCTTTCCAATGATGTATCATTTGTCATATTTGGACATCAAACATGGGATTTAGAGGGGGGGTCAAGCCAGCATATCCTGGTTTTCAAGTACCCCAGCAGAGATAGGGTTAATAACCTTCACAACACTAATGTCCAGTTTTATTCCTAGGTATCCCCGCATCCTCAAGTGCTGGTATAGCTAAGAAGGATATAACTGTTTACCACCTTAAAGAACAAGAATTTGATTTCTTGGTGATAATCCCGGAGTATCGAGCCTACTGCCATCTCGAAGTCAAGTCAGCTGGAAATGTCAGTGGTTCCTGTATAGATCAGCTTCAAAGAGGATTAGGTTTCTTCATGATGGTTCAAGAATATCTAGGAGAAGAGGAGGAGTTTAAGGATTGGAAATTTATTCCAATTTCAGTCTTTCCAAATGCTGAGGTAAGGCTGTAAATTTATGAAGCATACTAATTTTCATGGTTAATTTAACTTTCAAATATTGCCTGACCCATTTGAATTTTTCTAATATTTAAAGTTTAATTGGTAAAAAACTCCTTTTTTTAAAGACAGAACTATTGAAATCATCTTATCAGTCACTAGTATTACACCCTAATAAGCTGATTTCACAAGTTTATTACTTCAGGGCAAAGCATCAGAAATCATGAAATTGCACAAAGGTTGAATCAAAACATCTAATATGAGATTTTCAAACTAAAAATGTCGGGTTTAGTTTAACTTAATATTCTGTTGTTTAACTTGATATTCTAGTTAGTTTAACTTAATATTCTGTTGTGAGCAAGCTATTGGAAGCCAATGAAAAGGTTCTCAAGGATGACAATATAAGTGCAAAGTCTAACTAAAATACATTAAATCAATATAAGAATTATTTACTATAAAAAGTACATGAATTGTGTATTGACTAAAATTAAAAATTCTTTACTAAATATGAATTTAAGATGACTGTGATATGTAAACAAAATGTGCAAACAGCAGATTTGCTCCGTTAAACAAATAGAAAATTTATACTGTCAATCTGCATTTATAAACATATCATTTGCATCTACAGGGTGAGTAAAAAAACCGGGAATATCGTTGTTATGGACAATATTTTCAAAAATTTGGTTATGTTGGGATTTTATCATTATTTTAGGCATAACAAAAATAAAATATGATAAAAAAATATTCGAAAATTATTTTGGAGCTAGCAGTGATAAAAAAATCCTCGAAACCAAATTTTGTTTGAAAAAATTAAACTTTTTGAAAAATTATTAGGAAAACGTTTATTCTATCGTTTTTCAATATTTCATAAAAATTCATCAAAAATTGATGAGATATATATGAAAAATGAAAGCCAATTATTTGCATTTTAAAGTATCATATTTCTAAAGTTTTTTCAAACAAAATTTGGTTTCGCGAATTTTTCAATGTTAAAAAAATATTTTAAAATTTTTTTATCAAATTCTTTTTATGTCTAAAATCCGAAAAAAAGGCTTATTTAAAGCTTTAAGACAAAGTGTGGTGATTTGGCTTGGATTGGCCCATATTCAATTAAATCATTTATATCTAACTAACTTTAAAATGTCATTTATCATAAAACTATAAAACTATTGAATTTAGCCTACCCTCCCCCCCCCCTCCAAATATGATAAATATATCTATTTTTAATTTGACTGCTCTATATTATAATCAAACATATTAAACATTAGAAACAAATTTGTAGAGAAGGCAAGCAAACAATGCCTGGTGGTGGTTGATGAATATGGAGATGGTATCCTACCTACATTAAGAAGAAGTAAATTGTGTTTGTCACCACCAGAAACACAAGAACTCCTGAGGTTAGATAAGTACAGCACATTACAAACTGAAGAGATCATCATATCTTTACACCCAAATCTAGTGGGAGATTCTAAATTTGTTGACGGATTAAACATAGACAAGACATTTGAAAAACATTTTCTATCGAATATATTGAGAAACTCAAGAAATATTTGCGAATATATTAAGGATTTCGGTGACACTGGTTTTCGAAGTAGCAAACTTTCAACAGTATTAGGATATAAACCAGAGCTGGTTAAGGGGGATATGGACAATCCTAGTTATTACAAGGAATCCATAGATGCTATAAAGAAGAAAGCAGACAAATTTATTTGTATTAAGAACAAAAAGTTTAATTTCTCTCTCTTTCAAGAACAGCTTAATAAGAGAGAAATTAAACTGTTCAGATATGATAATGTAGAACATGATAGTGATAAACTAAAGGATTTTATAAAATCTGATAGTGGTTGTCTGTTAACCAACTATGTACTAGCTAGAGGAACAGAGTGCCAATCTCTGTTAAATTATCAGGATGGTACCCCTAGTTTCTCTACGCTAAGGTGTACAGTTAACCTTGTAGACTGTATCCCACAGGGTGGTGTAGAAGTGTTCTCCCCGGGACCAGGACTCCTCACTATACGAGGATCCCCGGGAGATCCTACTGTATACACCCAGCTCAAGGTTGAGTTAAACAAGACACCGTATAACAAATCTAACAAGTTTGTTTTTCTTCTTGGTGAAAAACTTCCTCCAGGAGTAGAAATAATCAAGAAAGAATACAAATTTCCAAATACTAAGGAAGAGTTTGATAAACACCTTGATAGTATAGAGCAGGGTTGTATCATATATTATTATGATGAAACAACAAATAATGATCAGGGTACTAAGCAGCTTATTTTATGGTTGAGGGAAATATCAGTTCCCTTCATATATTCAAGGTGTTTTCCAAACTTTGTAATCATACTCTTGTTTGATCAGGATACAATGTTCCCATAGTAGTTTCCTTTACATGTAGTTTATATAAAGCTAGCTCAAGATCCCGACGTTGCCCGTGGAAAAAAAATTAAAAATTTCGATTTTGTTTTAGCCTATCACACCCATGAGTGTCCACAAAAAGTTTCAGACAATTCAGTCCAGCCGTTTGGCCGTCTTTACACAACATATATATACCAATGTCTTGTTTTATTATATAGATAGGTTTATGTTATGTTACCTATTTATCTATCTTTCTTCTTAAAATATGTCTAGAACATTTTCTATTGTTTATTAAGATTCTGTCTCAATCTCTATATCTCTCTATTCATTTATCTATTATCTATCTTTCTATCTTACATCTTTTTATCTATCTATCTATCCATTTATCTTTCTATTTATCCATCTTACATCTTTTTATCTGCCTGTCTGTCTATCTACAGGGTGAGTCAAAAAAAGAGTGATTTACGGCGCCTGGTGCAAAATTGTACCTTTTTTGTGCAACTCTCCTGTATGGTGTTTTTCAATATTTTTTGAAAATTTGTAATTTTTTTTGGTACTGCAATGGGCCAAAAGAAAATCCGCGAACCTTTTTTCTCCAAAAAACAAAAGTTCAGAAAAGCAAAATATATAAATTATCTCTATGGAAATCTAAAAATTTTTAAAGATTGAATCAAAGAATCGCAGAAAATTTGCAAAATTGTAATAAGAAAATTCGCAATTTTTAGTTCTGGTCTTATTGTTAAGGAAAAGTTATTTAAATATACGCTGTTCAGTTGAAACCTTAAGAACCATTGAAAAACAATTTTTCCGTAAAAATTATACCAGAACTGAAAATTGCGAATCTATCTAAACATATGCTTTCCAGTTATTTTTTGTAAACCATAAGTGATAGTCTGTATCCATATTTAATCATATTGTAATCCATAAGTGACAGTCTGTATCCATATTTAATTTTATTGTAATCCATAAGTGATTCTATGTATCAATATTAAATCTTATTTTTTCATTAAATCATGTTGATCCACAAACTTGTTATATTAAAGATAATAATATTATTTGTATAACGTATAGTTGATGTAATGTTCTATCCTAAATATATCTGTGCAGTGTAAATATATCTGGTGTACACTCTGTGCAGTGTGAATATATATGGTGTGCAATCTGTGCAGTGTGAATATATCTGATTGGTCCTTTGATCCATGGGTGAACAGAATGGAACCTCCATGGAACCATTGGTCAGAGGAACTAAATATCCCAGACACCACCAAGAAGGATGTCATCATACGCCTCTATTGGAAGATCCATGATTTGCAGGTGTTCATAGAGAACTGGTGGAGGAACTAACCCTGGAAGCACCACGAGGACAAGGTGTTGATGGATGGGCTTGAAGACATATCGGTAATGATATTTAAGATTATGTGTCTTGATTCTGAGGTCCTTAGGGATCCCATCCATGACCAAACTCATGATCCTAAATAGGATCATAGTTATTAATATTTGGCTACTTTAACAGAATGATTTGTATAAGTAAGTATGTTTAATATGTTTGAATAAAATGTGCATACACAAATTAAACATTATATTGGGGACATTTAAGGTACAATACTATAGGCTAGAGCAATTTAGGATCAACCGACATTATGTGTTGATCCTTCATAATTGACCTGTCTCAATCTAAGCGATGTCAATAAATTGTGGGGTCGTCGTTAAAAGATATTACTCTAAAATACGTTCTAGGTTTCAAAACGTACTCGGTCCTTTTTCCAACGATTTAAAAAAAAATTTGAAATCTTTTTTCGTCTTTTAAGTTTTTAAAAAATCCTCAATTCTATCACTGAAAATGTTCAATTTATTCTATCATTTCGTATAAAACGTATAAGTAAAATTATAATTTGAATTTTTTTAAATCTTTGAAAAGGAGACCGAGCACATTTTAGCACATTAGGTCTGCTTTTGAAGGTTAACACGGCATTTTAGAGAAAAATGTTTCATCGACGACCCCCCCATTTATAGACATTGTACTAGAAGCACTTTTTAGCACATTTAAACGATGTTTAGTAGACTAAAAAGCCTAACACACTTTTTCAGAGACACCCTGTATAGATAAGGATTTTTCTAGATCCTGATGATGGAGGTAGTGATAATGAAAGAGATGAAGTTAATTATACTTTTAATGAGGTATACAAAGTACACATATGATCTACTAATCTCCCTATGCCATACCAAGCTTAAAATGTATAAATATTTTGGAATATAAGACCAACAATTTTATGCAAATTCAACTCATTATACTAAGCATTAACGAAAGAGCAAATTGCCAAGGGAATCCTGAATCCTGAGTGAAGGGAGTGGTATTATTTGTAGAAAACAGATAAAGTAGGTTTGGAAATCAAATTATTAGAGACCCCTTTGAAACACATTTTAAAAAAAAATTTAAAACAAATATATATATCACATTTTCTTCTGCAAATAGTTTTAATCCTGAATGTGAATATGAAATCAATTAAATTATTAGATTAGCTGAAGGGCTTGGCGTTGCCCGTGGAAAAAAATATGAAATTGCTGAAGGGCCTGGCGTTGCCCATGGAAAAAAAATATGAAATTTTTTAAAAATATTTTTTTTAATGTAGCGTAAAAAAATCTCGAATTCTACATGATATTGAAGCCGAGAGGATTGAGCTACAGATCTTGATTTCTGTCTTGAAATCTCAAGCTGAGATGGTTGATCACCAACTACTCGTTCTCCGGGTATAGGTTAACCTGCCAGGTTGAGCTCAGAAATCCCAAGCTTTACCAAACTCCCTGGGTCAATGTCCGTGGTACCTTCACTGCTTGCACACTAACTAGCGTCAGGTAGATGAACTCGGGTTCCACTCTGGCATTATTCTAATGAGGTGCCTTGGTAGCTGTAGACTGAGAATACTCCAGTTGCTGGGTCAGCCTTTGTTTCCTGGTTGGGGGGTCCGGACTGGACCGTAGTGCACATTCATCAGATGTCTGCCGGGACTTTTGGAGCAGAGGAGTTGTGCCCAAGGAATCATGCAGTAATTTTTATCATGACTTGCTCTGCACTTTTCAGGTTACACACCCTGATGAAGTGCAGTCCACTGCACTTCCAACATTTCACAGATTTCTAGATTTGTCTGGCCTAATTCAGGATTCATAAAAAGATTTCTCCAGGGAGAGCTGATTACCTCTCTCACTACACCTAAACCTATAAATTACCTCACCGTTTGATGAACCTTCAGATCTATAAAATGAGAAACCTATTTATTATTTTTATCCTCCAAAACATTTTAAAAGTTAATGATCTGACAAAGTTCCAAAGTTATCTAAATCCCTCTGCCCCCTGGTCAGACATATATTGCTATGCAACTGAAAACTTCTAAACCCCGTAAAAAGTTCCTAAAAATTTAGCCGAAAATTGTCAAAAAAAGCATAAACAGTAAAATTGCTGGAATTTTTTTGGAAATCATTTAAAAAGGATAAAATTTTTATTAAACATAATGCTCTTAAAATGTGTTGCTTATCTGAAATTTTTTTTTCAGTGGCATCCTATCAAATTACCTCCCCCCTCCCAGAAAAAATAGTAACGATACAAAATTTAAATTTACCTCTGTTTATGTTCATATCCTGCCCTCTGGTTAGACATACAAGTACAACTGAAAACTTAAAAGACCCTTAAAAATTGACTGACAATTTAGCTGAAAATGAAAAAAAAAGGCCAAAACAGTAATAATTGTTGGAAATTTTGGAAAATCAGTTTAAAATGCTAAACTTTCCTGTTTATCCAATGCTCCTTAAAATGTATCGAACATCTCATAATTTTTTCGTTGGTATAACCTTCCCCCCCCCCTCTTACACAACCCACACCCTGAAAGATAGAAATAATACAAAATACCTGCTCAGTTTATGTTCACCCCTTTCTAATAATTTCCTGTTTATTAAGGGCTTGCATGGTGAGACAGAAACCAGGGGGATATATATTTCCTGCCTTAATCTTGATTATCCGGGTTGTTTTGATGAAAAGGGGAATCATATCACCCCTTTATTCAATCTGCTGATGAAGGAGATGTTTTCTGAGTTATCGAAGGGGCTAGAGGTAAGGATTGGTATTGTCTTTTAAGTTATTGATAAATATAAGTGTTTTTCTAAAACCCTATAATATTAAAAACAGAAAGCTAGGTATATGCACAGTTTTACTGCATTATTTATTAACACATTAAGATTTAAAAATAAAACCAAACTTGACCCTTGGAAACTTTTATGAATGGTTATAATTTAAAAAATTTGCCTTGAAAATTTTTTACTTTTTCAAAATCCATGAAAACAAAGATAAATCGGCAAAAGTGTTTTGTTATTGTTTGTTAATTTTAGAAGAGAAAATGCTTCAGATAGAGCAACAATTAAAAGTTAAAATCAAAGATAACACAGGAAAATAAAGCACCATTTGCATCATATAATCAATATATTTCAAAATACTGAATCCAGAAATCCAGAATAATACTTTCTTAGAATTTAGCAAATTAGAAGTAGAAAACTATTATTAAGACAAAAACTTTTTAAAATTTTAACAAAATTTTTAAAAGAGGAGTGAATTCTTTTCTCTGACTATTGTGTCCTCCTTCATCATCATACATCTGTTTTTTGATCCTCTCTTTTAGATCTACGCATTCCAATCCCTTGAAGACAAGGGAAAAATGCATTTTGACGAATATGTCTAATCTTCTTTCTGCCTAATATTAGGCATACTATTATTTGCCCTCCATGCAGAGGTGTCAAATTTCTCTGACAAGTCATGTTGAGGAATGATGATGCAGCCTTTCCATCCAGCCAATGTTCATATCCACTATATGTATTCTTACAGGTTGGAAAAATAAAAGTTACTGCTAAACGTTTGAAAATTCTAAAGAATTCATTGTCAGAATTCCGCATTAATAAAGATCTTTNGTGCTTCAGAATACAGTCTTGTCTACAGCATCCTTTCCTTGCAGCCAGCAGTTTAAACCGGTTTTTAGTGTATGGTGCACAACCTATCAGGATTCTACTTTCTATGTTTTCATTTTCCTTGTTTCTGGCAAAAGGGAGGGGGAAGAGAACCATAGAGAAACCCCTCCTT